AACTCATGCTCAGAATCAATGCTGAAGCAAGAAATGAGGAACATTTGAAGCATCTTTGAAGATTCAACATCAAATATTGGGGTATTTTTGGATATTGGGGTATCATTTGGGGATTCAACATCCTAATACAAATTATCAGGCCTTTTTCTGGAGATAAAATATAACCAATTCATGTTACATGCATCTTATGCATACATTTTAGAACATCATATTTATCATTTTCCACATACATAATTTTTTGCAGCTTTTAGAGTCAAGTTTCGACTTCAAGACGAAGAATACTCGATTCAAAAGCACCTTTAAAGATTCATGTTGGTTGCTTAACTCAGCAGCAAGAAGCTACACTTCGACCAACTCGACATATTGAAAGTTTCTCTCGAACTCACAATTTGCTCGAGAGTAGAGTTCAACTTCACGACGAAGGGACCGCTGGTTGTCAATAAACAACTTCCCAATTTCAGAGCCAATTTCAACTTCACAGCGAAGGATATTGGACTCCAGACAACGCAAGTTCAACTTCACAACGAAGAGACTGCTGGTTGTCAACAAATAACTTCTCAATTTCAGAGCCAATTTCAACTTCACAATGAAGGATATTGGACTCCAGACAACGCAAGTTCAACTTCACGATGAAGGGACCGCTGGTTGTCAGTAAACAATTTCCCAATTTCAGAGCCAATTTCAACTTCACAGCGAAGGATATTGGACTCAAGACAATACAAGTTCAACTTCACGACGAAGGGACCGCTGGTTGTCAATAAACAACTTCCCAATTTCAGAGCCAATTTCAACTTCACAGCGAAGGATATTGGACTCCAGACAAAGCAAGTTCAACTTCACGACGAAGGGACCGCTGGTTGTCAATAAACAATTTTCCAATTTCAGAGCCAATTTCAACTTCACAGCGTAGGATATTGGACTCAAGACAATGTAAGTTCAACTTCACGACGAAGGGACCACTGGTTGTCAATAAACAACTTCCCAATTTCAGAGCCAATTTCAACTTCACAGCGAAGGATATTGGACTCCAGAAAACGCAAGTTCAACTTCACGACGAAGGGATCGCTGGTTGTCAACAAACAACTTCTCAATTTCAGAGCCAATTTCAACTTCACAACGAATGATATTGGACTCCAGACAACGCAAGTTCAACTTCACGACGAAGGGACCGCTTGTTGTCAACAAACAATTTCCCAATTTCAGAGCCAATTTTAACTTCACAACGAAGGATATTGGACTCAAGACAACGCAAGTTCAACTTCACGACGAAGGGACCGCTGGTTGTCAATAAACAACTTCCCAATTTCAGAGCCAATTTCAACTTCAGAGTGAAATATATTGGACTCCAGACAACGCAAGTTCAACTTCACGACGAAGGGACCGCTGGTTGTCAACAAATAACTTCTCAATTTTAGAGCCAATTTCAACTTCACAACGAAGGATATTGGACTCCAGACAACGCAAGTTCAACTTCACGATGAAGGGACCGCTGGTTGTCAATAAATAATTTCTCAATTTCAGAGCCAATTTCAACTTCACAGCGTAGGATATTGGACTCAAGACAACGCAAGTTCAACATCACGACGAAGGGACCGCTGGTTGTCAATAAACAACTTCCCAATTTCAGAGCCAATTTCAACTTCTCAGCGAAGGATCTTAGACCCAAGACAACACAAGCTCAACTTCACGACGAAGGGGCGGCTGATTGTCAACAAAATTTCATTCAGAGTCAATTTTAACTTCACAGCGAAGGATATTGGACTCGAGACAACACAAGTTCAACTTCACAACGAAGGGACGGCTGGTTGTCAACAAACAATTTCCCGGTTCCAGAGCCAATTTCAACTCACGACGGAGGATATTGGACTCGGAACAATGCTACTTACTTGGATTTCAACTTCACGACGAAGGATATCCAATTTCAGGCTCAACTTCACGACGAAGGGGCCACCCGCGGTTTCAACTTCACGACGAAGGGAATCGAGCACACAAGCATCATCCATCTTTAGATTGGATTTCAACTTCACGAAGAAGGATATCCAACTCAAAGAAGGAGTATATGTCAACAAAGACCTTCGAGTTCGACTACGCTCAGCTCCAAGGCACATCATTTACAGCATAACTCAAGGCTAGAAGGGTTATCTGCCATCAAAATTGTCGAGTTCGATTCCATTCAGCTCGATGACACATCAATCTCACTACTTTTCGGTTGCAGTCGAGGTTTTAAAGTCGAGAAGAGGACCTGGGTTAACCGTGCTTTAGTGACAAGAAACCATTTTCAAGCAAAAGCTATCTGTCAATGAAGATTTCTGAGTTCGATTCTGATCCAAGGTCTTTAAACCGAGAAGAAGACCGAAGGGCAACGAGAAGCCACGTGCTGATTCAAATTCCGAACTACGGCTTCAATTTCATATCATTTCAAGATGAACTCGGCTTCACGACGGAGGAGTCATCCGTAACTCAATTCGACAGGGAGTTATTGAAACATCAGAGTCAATTTTCAACTCCACCGAACGAAAAGTGTATCTTTTAATCTTTGCCCTATCCTCGTTATACGACTATGGGCAAAGAGGGACAGCTGCCAATACACCTTTTCGTCCTACTAGGATTCAAACTCATAAAAATAGAATATAATTTTGCTAGGATTCAAACTCCTAAAAATAGGATAGAGTTCTACTATGATTTAAACTCCTAAAGATAGGATCCACAAGCACTATAAATAGCCATTGTAACTCACTATTGTAACATAAGATTTACAGACAAAATACAGAGGAAAGCACGGAAAATACAAAGGCAAAACTATTGTAAACGATTCGAAAAAGAAATAAAAGGTAGCATTTTTTTATTCGTTCATTTCTCGCATGTGCACGTTATTTTTCTTGAGATTTGGTTCGAATAATCCAAAACGTGGGTTGCGCCGACGACCAAAAATGGGTGGGGTTTCGAAGTTTCTAACCTAGATCTTCCCCGAGGCGTGTTTATTTTTTATCCCCCTAATACACAATATCGATGTTAATTGTCTTTCAAATTTGGCCCCAATTTTTATTTTTCTTTATATTAGTCCTTTTATTTATTGTATATATATTTTTATTTATTTATTATTTATATTATTGTCATTATATAAATATATATACGTATGTTTTTTTAAATGATTTTCAATTGATTTTTTTACACTATATATTATTATTATTATATATACATATATATATTTTTATTTATATTCATTTGGTTATTTTTTAATACTATTTTTATTATTTATATATATATATATATATATATATATATATATTTTACTTATAAGCGTATTATTACTATATATATATATTGTAATTATCTTTATTTAGTTTTTTTACTTTATCATTATACGTATATATATATATATATATTTTTTTTAATAGTTTATTAATAAGCCAATTATCATTATATGTATAATTTTATATTTGGTTTATATATTTATTTATTTTTATTTTTGGTTTTTTTATTTGTTTATATTATATTATATTTTCATATTACTATCATTATTGTTATGATTATTATTTTTCTATTTACTCATTTATATATATATATATATATATATATATATATATTTAATATTTCATTTATTTATTTATTTTTTCTTTTATTTTATTTTTTTACTTATTTTTATTCTTATTTTTTTTATTTATTCATTTTTCCCTCTAACATATCTTATGACTTTTAAGGGTATTTTTGTCAATTAATCAGAGGTAAATAATTCATGATCAAATTTTACCTTTTAATTTAAAATTACAATTTTCTTAATTAAGACAACTGGAAATTACGTAGTACCGAAAGGGCGGTTCAAGGGTGCTAATCCTTCCTTGACCTTAACCGACTCCCGAGCCCGACATATTTCTGGTAAGACGCAGATCATGTAAGAAATAGGGTATCTGATCAACCCATTTGTTTTAAATAAATGATTGGTGACGACTTCAATCCACATTTTTCAAGTCGAAACCCAATTCTAGAGTACAACCGAAAGACGATTACGACATGTCTAATTCTTGCAAAATCAAGTCTCCAATCTCCAGTCGATGTCCATCACTTCCAGTTTCTCATCGACTCAACATGTTAATTCTAATGGCTTTATTGCACTAGAAAGTTTGAACAGGAAACAGCTTTTGCAGGTCCTAATCAACTCCCCCATCGCGTAGACCATGCTTAATTTGTTAACAGGGTTTTTAATTTTTTTTTTGTTCTGAGCAGTTGGTTTCGCTTCACAAGGTCAAGGAGAGGAAAACGGTGCTCCAACAGTTTCTTTGTGTTAATATCAACTAGTAAAGAAAACAAAAGCCATGATATTAGTTATTACCCTTTTTACCATGTATTCCGTGTCATTTGCAGAACACATATGAACAAAGGTTGATGTGCAAGGAGAGGAGGTTGACGGAAGATAATGTGTCGCATCAGATGAAACTAACGTGAGGTAATGTTATGGAACTTAATAAAAATCAACTAAAAGTTTAGTGAGAGTATTACAAGTTGTTTCATGTAACCTTTATTCATGATCAACATGATATTTAGATGCCTTAATTTGCATAAATTGAGTATTTGTATTGGATTAATTAATATTGTTGATGACAAAAACTTATTAAAATGAAACTAGAATCAAAGTGACAACACTCAAATTGGGATTTTCAAAATGTCAAAGAGCCGTGTATAAATCTCTCCTTATGTTAAAATATTCTTGTTTTAATTGACTAAATTGTAATTTAATTTAAAATATATGCGAGTCGGCAATCGCATCAAGCGGGCTCTGCTCTGGATAAAAATTGACAGTGGCCATTGACAAAAGGTCTCGAAATCTCAATTACAAATTTAATCCAACCATTTCTTTATTCTTCTACTGCCACGTGGGAAATATATATATATATATAACAGGGTCCACGGATTTATCAAAATACGTCAGCCCTTACCACATATATGGAGAAAAATAATTAAAAAAGTCTCCCTTAAATAAATCATCACCGGCATGTCCCGCCCAGTGAATCACAACCATGGACACGCAGCTGCTTCTCGTTTTCTTTATTCTACATCTCCTTCTTCTATGCACGGCGGCGCCGGAGCATGAATCTCAGTTCACTAGTGGTAGCATCGTTTTCGCTACATATGGTCGAACAAATTATGCCTGGGATATCTTTATGCTCCCAACTTCAGGCCAACCAAATCCTTTTAATGAACTTCGGGTTACCGACGGCGAGTCCGTTAACTTCAATGGCCACTTCCCGTCCGTCTCATCTTCCTCTATTCTTTCTCTGTTACACAACCGAAGCCTCATTCACGTCCCGAAAGCTCCTTCGCCGGCGCTCCAGCTCATCTATGTGACGGAACGGAACGGGATTCCGAATGTTTACTATGATGCGCTTTATTACGGTGCGCCGCGGACTACTAGATCGAGATCGGCGCTTGAAATTCCCGTTCGAGTTCAGGCCCCTTTGCTGGGTTTAGAAGAGAGCAAGAATCGGGTTTCGATGAAAGATAGGCCGAGTTTGAGTGGACAGAATTTGATTTACGTGTCAACTCACGAGGACCCGGGTGAACCCAGGACGAGTTGGGCTGCTGTGTACTCCACTCATTTAGGGACCGGGTTGACTCGGCGACTCACTCCCTACGGAGTGGCCGATTTCAGCCCCGCCGTGTCTCCATCTGGGGTTTGGACGGCTGTTGCTTCGTACGGGGGAGATGGTTGGGCTGGAGAAGTGGAAGAACTGAGTACTGATATTTATGTTTTCTTAACTCGTGATGGGAGTCACCGAGTCAAGGTTGTTGAACACGGTGGATGGCCGTGTTGGGTTGATGACTCAACTCTGTATTTCCATCGGAAAAGTGTAGACCAGTGGATGAGCGTTTACAAAGCAACTTTCCCTAAAGATAAACCGATTTCCACCAACTCAGTGACGATTCAACGAGTCACACCTCCGGGTCTCCACGCTTTCACCCCAGCTACTTCCCCAGGTAACCACAAGTTCATAGCAGTAGCTACCAGAAGACGCAATTCAAATTTTCGTCACGTAGAGCTGTTTGACACTGTTAAAAACGAGTTTATTGAGTTAACTCGACATGTTTCTCCCACAACCCATCACTTGAACCCGTTTATATCACCTGACTCAGCCCGAGTTGGGTACCACAAGTGCAGGGGAGAAAACAATGGAGGAGAAACTAGAATATTATTGCTTGAAAATGTTAAAAGCCCAGTGCCAAATCTCTCTCTTTTCAGAGCCGGCGGTTCATTCCCCACTTTCTCACCCGCGGGTGACCGAATAGCCTACGCGGACTTTCCCGGTATCAATGTAGCGAACCAGGACGGTTCGAACATGAGAAAAGTTTTCTCCTGGACCGCATTTGCAACCGCATGGGACCCGGTCCGAAAAGGAATCGTATACACAAGTGCCGGTCCGTCGTTTGCAAGTGAGAGTACCGAAGTCGATATCATAGCCATCGATGTTGATTCCGTTGACCAACCAAATTATAAAAAGTTGACCATAGACGGTAAAAACAATGCATTTCCATCCCCATCACCAGATGGAAAACGAATTGTGTTTAGATCGGGTCGATCGGGTTACAAGAATTTATATATAATGGACGCGGTCGAAGGAGAGACGGGTGGGATCCAAAGATTAACAAATGGCCCATGGACAGATACAATGTGTAATTGGTCTCCGGATGGTGACTTGATTGCATTTGCTTCGGACCGACATAACCCGGGTTCAGGTAGTTTCGAGATATATCTAATCCACCCAAACGGCACCGGGGTGAGGAAATTAATCAATAGCAAGTCATCCGGTCGGACCAACCACCCATGGTTTAGTCCGGATGGAAAATTAATAGTATTCACAACGGATTATGCGGGGATATCAGCTGAGCCAATCTCGAACCCACATCAATTTCAACCATATGGTGAGATATACGTTATCAAACCGGACGGTTCGGGCCTGCAGAGGCTGACCCATAATTCATATGAAGATGGGACCCCTTCATGGGCCCCATTCTACATAAACCCTGCTGACGTGGAGTCGCCCAGGAGGACCCAGTGTGCTTTTGAGGATTGCCATTTTCTGAACAAAATGCCAGGCCGTGGCACCACCAGGGTGGAACCATTAGGACTAGCCCAACCCCGGTGTGGTACATGATTCAAAAGCACAATATTAGGAGTATAATAATGTGGTTTATAGTATAGTAAATGTGTATGGTGAGAGAATAATTTTGATGCACGAAATATTTGTACATATAGACTGCACCTACGCCCTGACTATATATTTCATGTACCTTTTCATATCTTTTGGATGGTGTAAGCTTTTGACTTCTTTTATTTTCTAATCATCTAAGATAATATATGTAATTTTTTTAGTTATTAATAATATATACTTTATAGACGTAATTATTCGAATTCAGGCCTCTTAAAAAATATTTTTATTTATCACTAAAATCAGTCAATATGTTCGCTCTTTTATTCATTATTGATTTTGAGACAACGAATAATGAATAAAAAAGAAACCTATTGATCGACCTTAATAACAGAAAGAGATGTTATTCTTTTCTCTTACAAATTTGAGTACAAGTAATTGTGTTTGTAATGTTATCGATGAAAGAAAATTTAAAACTAATATTGGTCATTTTGTACATTAATGCATCTTTTGGTAGTTGTTTTAGATTTTATACTACTTGAGTACATTCTTTGGTAAAGCAAAACGTTGAAATACTTTTATGTATATATAATTTGATAAAGCATTTGAGATTTTTGAATTTGTTAGTTTGTATCTATTTTCTTTTTTTTTTAGTTTTTTAGCTGAGTTTTTAATATTTTTTATATAGTCATTTTAGTCTTTTATTATTAATTTATGCACTTTGATAGTCTTAAGAGAAATGACTTGCTAATGTGGTATTATAATGTTGTAGACTTTTCTTTTTAATTTTATTAGTTCAACAAAAACTTCTTTTACCAAAATATCAATGATTTTTTGGATTGGTATTATTTTTGTCAGTATGTAAAGACGCGTTTTGTAGAGGGTACCTTATGTTCACCTATCCATAAGTCGATTGGGTTGGGTTGAAATGAAAGGAAAAGAAAAAGAGGGGCAATATATATATGAATCTCGTCTAAAAAGGGGGAACACATATGATGTGTGTCAAAGATACATAATTGCACTAGCACGAGTCATATATGATGATGTTATGTATGTATTAATCTTATGTTCAATCACTCACTAATTATATGTTTAAAATGCTAAATTTAAACACTTAAAAACTCACATATCTAAATAACGTAGGATTTGAAAACCGACATGGACTTTTCAAACCTCACATTGTGTAGATATAGAGTTTTTTTTAAATATTTAAATATAGTCTTTTAAACATGTATTTATTGAGTGATTGATTATAAGACTATACGTGTGTCGCCTGTTGTCCGGCTAGTTCTCATATAATTATGTGTCTTCGACATGCATAGTATTATTGTTATTTTTGGACAAAATTCGTATAATTTGTTCATATTTTTTATCCTCTCTTTCTATTTTTTTTCATTTTAGTCCAACTTTTAAATTCTGACCAACTTCTGTCACCTAAACAAAAGGTGTTTCATGCAAAATGTACTTTCTACCACATCAACAAAATGCGTTTTTTTTGTTGTTGCAAAAACACGCCTTCTATCACATTAATAAAATATACTTTCTACAAAAATATGTCTTTGTTTATGTGATAAAAAAGTGTCCATCTTGAAATTAATCAATTTTAAGTATTAGAATAATTTTTTTAATAAAATATATTTGGATAAAAAGAGCTAAACCAAAAGTTAAGACTTAATATAAAAATAAATGTCTAAATTATACTCAAAATTAACTTTTGTTGTCTAAAGAATTTTTAGCTAAAAATTGGTGTCTAATGTATAACGGTTCTTATAATATTTTTAAATTTTTTTTTTTAAATTTGAACGTGACACATGTCACTTAACGGTTTTTTTAACGATAAACACCTAGAAGTGTAACGGAAAAAACTTTAAGCACATATTTTTAGCAAAAAATTCTTTAGCCACTAAAACTTTTTCCGAGACATTCTTTAGTTACTTATTTTTGTATTAAGCCTAAAAGTTTTAAGTACACGTAATTTAATTTTTTAAAATTTTATTTAATTATTAGGTATAATGGTAAGATAAAATTCAATATAAATTTAAGGGTAAAATATATAATTAGTCCCTGAACTTTTAGGGCATTTGTATTTTAGTTACCCAACTTTTGAAACTTACAATACAATCATTGAACTTTTAGTTCATTTTCAATAAAGTCCCTGTCGTTACCTCTTAAGTTTTTTGCTGACGTGGTAGTTAACCTCTCATCAACTCTCTTTCTTCTTCTTCTTCTTTTGAAAACCCTAACCTTTTGGGGAAACTTATTTATGTTACAGAAGATTTAAGTATGTCATTGGAGGATTCGAAACCAATGAGAATGGAGGAACCCGAATATGATAATGAGGATAAGAAAAGCTTGAGTTTCATGATGGAGCATCTTAAGAAGAAACCCTTAAGTAATAGCAACAATAATGTTGGTTCTAACTCGCAATTGAGTCCCAAAGAAGCCAAAGTGAATAAAGAAGAAACCCTTAAGTAATAGCAACAATAATGATGAAGACAATAACCATATCTTATTTTTTTAAATTAATATTCAAAAGTGAACAAAACACAAACATAAGTGATCATTTGTGTAGTTAACTCTATAATATTTAACTTAAATTAATATATTAATATATAAACTACAGCTCCCGGAGGCTAGAGCGGAGAACTACCTTTTGTTTTCATTTTCATTTCATTTTTTTAAGTGCTTAAAGTCTTTGCCGTGTTTTGTTACTTTCGTGTGGCTTCCAAACGATCAATTGCTTCCTCGCCGCACTCATTCATTGGCTTTTGCTCGGTAAGTTACCATTTTCACTTCTTTAATATCTTGTACGAGGGGATGAGAGTTGTGGGGTATGTATTTTGGGTTCTAATAATGCATTCCACATGTTCGACGAAATATCTCTGTGAATCATCTGCTCTCAATTGACTTGCTCTATATGATCGTCGATCAGCTACAGTCTACATTATCGAGTTTGTTTAGGATTTAGAAACCCCATTTTTCCTATGGCTCATCTCATGGATTAGTGTATGACGATAACCGTCTTTCGCTGCTGTTATATGGTTGTCGTATGCTTTTTAAGCTCGTCTCTGCAATCCATGTAATTGTAGATTTATTTATCAATTGAACAGCGGTCACCTAATATTACTATAATGTGTAAAAGGTCTCATGCCTGGATTTGTTTACAGTAACTTGTTTCTTCTATTCGTAACCTTCTACACATCGAATACTTTTGTTTGGATCTTTAGGTCCTTGTTGTCTCTGTTTTCCTTTTCGATGCCAATTGTATGAACATAGAAGTGTAAATGATTCAATTTATGAGATGTATGAAGTTGGGTTTAGAAAATGGTCGCCCTCCTTGAGGGATTTCTAAAGTGAATATATCAAAATTCCATTTCCCTGCTTCTTGTTGGCTTGATTTATTTGTTGAAAATATGAACTGACAATGGAGTTGTAGAAATTATGTTTGGAGCACGATCAGGATTTATCACTAATATACTAAAGCATTGCAGGACACGCATCAAGGTTTGATGAACGGTGTATCTAGTAGCTTAAGGGCAGCTTTCTCTCACTGTGTAGAGCAAGTGAGGAGCTATGATTACCATCACTACCTGTGCCTCCTTGAGCTCCCGGCTAACATGCGAAAGGCTGCATTTGCACTTCGTGCCTTCAATGTTGAAACTGCCAGAGCCATGGATGTAGCTTCTGATCCCAAGATTGGTCTCATTCGCCTTGTTTGGTGGAAAGAAGCCATTGACAAAATTTATGCTAACAAGTTGATTGAGCACCCGACAGCAGTGGCCCTCTCATCAGTTGTATCTGAAAGTAACATTAGCAAGGCTTGGTTAAAACGGGTGGTTGATGCTCGGATCAATGACGCAAGTAGAGAAGTTACTGACCTACCAGAGACTATTGAGGAGTTGGAGAAATATGCAGAGGATACTGCATCAACTCTTCTCTACATGACTCTTCAAGCTGGTGGTATCAGGTCAACTGCAGTTGACCATGCTGCGTCGCATGTTGGTAAGGCAAGTGGCCTCCTTTTGCTGCTTAAGTCACTGCCATATCATGCTAGCCGCAACCGTCACTTTTCCTACATACCGGCTGAAGTGGCTGCTAAGCATGGGCTGCTAGTTAAGGAAGGAGGTCGATCGGAGATACACCTGGATTCTCGAGAGCGCTTATGCGATGCAGTTTTCGAAATGGCATCAGTAGCCAATGCCCATTTGGTGAAAGCCCGTGAATTAGCCAATGGTGTGCCATCCGAAGCACGAAAAACACTTCTACCAGCAGTGCCCGCCCAAGATCTGTTGGATTCCCTCAACAACGTGCAGTTTGATGTATTCGATTCAAGGTTAGCAAGAGGGGTTCTGGGTAAACCTCCATTGTGGTTCCAGATGAAACTAAAGTGGTATTCATGGCGGGGGAAATACTGATCAATTTCTGGCGGCCGGATACTTTGTCAGTTGGCTAATGAAACAAGAAACATTGGTTTTGTTTTATTTTTTTTTTCTGTCTTAATAAGGGGATTATCCTCATGGAACACGTTTATTAACTAGTGAATGGTGATCATTGCGGCCAATAGCTTTCTTATCATTTCCAGTTTATAATGCCGTAAATTTGTTACTCTGTTATCTGTTATGATAAAGTATCAAATCCAAAAGTATGGTATCGTCACATAAGAAATTCCATATTACTCTATTCATCATCGCTAGTCACATAAGTAGGGGTAAAGCCAAAAATTTCATGAAATAATTATTTTATCGGATTCAAATGTAATTCTCATATGCACGAATCAAGTGGTCTTCATGGTTGTTATTCCTTGAAGATCCGAGTTCGAGCAAAATAGATTTTTGGGGGGTGGGCGTTCAATGTCAAAAAATTGAGAGTTAGATTTAAACATATATTGTCTTTTACTTACCCCAAATTAATAGGAAAAAAATATAAATCTCATATGATATATTAGTTTAAGTATAAAGTTTTTATCAGGGTCGGTTTTTTTAAAAACAAAATCAGAATCGGGTCGGGTTCCCTCTATATATTATTTTTTAATTAAATTCTTATTTTTATTAAATAAAAATAATATTTTATTATTATTTCGGATCAGAACCGGTTCAAATTTTATCTCAAAAAATCAAGTTGGATTCGGATCGAGTGGACATATTTATTAGTGTGGTATAATTTACGTAGAAACCACTTTTTTAAATTTGTCAATGCGCATGATTTCAATAACGAAATTAAATACTTTAAATTATGATGTTAATTCTTTTAAAAATATTAAAAAAATGAATGTTTTTAATACATTCACAAAGAAATACTTGTTGACCATTTTTAATAGTTATGGACATTTTAAAATCTCTATTTGGATGACATTTTTGTAATTTGGCCAAATATATAGTAATCATTATTAAAAACAAGTTGGCAAATTGGACGGCATAAGGTTCAGCCACTTTCCTATGTATTGTTAGGGCTGATCATAATCATTATTAAAATGAATTGTGTTGATATCATGTTTTCGTAGATTAAATCAAAATTCTATCAACATTAGAACCAAATGAACTTAATTTAAATTTGAATTAGACTTAAATTCTTAACAAATCAAAACGAAGTATTTAATATATAATTCGAAAAGGTAGCAAGCAATTCAAAAAATAATATATTAAAATTTTAGATTTTTTAAATTAAATTATAAACAATATTACATTTATATCGTTTAAGATTTTTTAAATTAAACTATTAACAATATTACATTTATATCATTTAAGATTTTCATATACTTAAGATTCAAGTTTTAGCTCAAGTTTGAGCTTCAATTGAACTATGTATGAGAATGTTTCGGGATTAAGTTTTCTCGAATTTCAATTTTTGATTTCGAGTCGAGTTTGAAAATTTTAAGCTCGTGAGAGTTTGAGTCTAGCCGAACTTAATAATTTTTAAGCTCACGAGTTTTCAAGTTCAGTCGAGCCTAGTTTTAAACTTTTCAAGTCGATTCAAACTTAATTTTAAACTTTTTGAATCGAGTCGAACTCAAGAATATTCTTATTTAAATTGAAAATATCATTTTTTTTTCAAACAAAAATATATTTTATTAGGGTAAATGACCAATCAAATATCAAAATTAAAAATCTTTATTCAGGTTTACACCTGCATCCACCTCGCCTACACCTCTAATTTTACCAGTTTACTCGACTACTTTAACCAATCAAAGTCAAACTCTCTATTTTTTATTGTACAGCCACAACGTGCAGTTTGACCAGCGGCCGCCATGTTTGATGCTTCTCAGCTGAATAAACCAGTCCCTTTATACAAAACTAATCCCTCCATTGATTTACATAATCATCATTTACCATGGCAAACTCCATCTTCTTCTTCTTCTTCATCATGTTCTCCCTTTTCTCCACCGTTTACACCGTCAATTTCAACACCTCTTCGTGCCCAATCGACCTCAGCTACGTCGAAACCTTCCCATGGGACGAATCCACCTGCTTCAACCCACAAGGAAGGCAGTGCTGCCAAACCCTACTAAGCCTCTTCGGCATGGGAATGGCCCAGTACCTCAAAGAAACCTCTGTTTTCCAGTTGCCGGATTCCGCCGCCGCTTCCTCTTGTCTCTCCGATTTCCAGAACAAGGTGGCCGCCAAATCCGTACACCCATCTCTGGTGTCTTCTTGTTTGCAGAACTCGACGCAATTCGTCAGCAACACTTCGAGTTGTGCTGGGATTTTAACGGTTCAAGATTGGGTTCAAAAACTGGGTCCGACCACCGTATTGGATACCGCTTGTAAAGGCGACGTGACCGGTTTGAATTGCAGACCGTGTATCGAAGCGGGTTACAATGTTAACTCGAGGCTACTGAGTCTCGATCCGAGTTCCACAAAGTGTTTCGATTTCACCGTTTTGTATGCCATTGGTGTAGTAAATGAATTTGGTCCAAAGGATCAAGGGTCGGCTAATTGCATACTGGGTTTGCCGTTAGATAGCTCGGTTGATGAGAAATCAAAAAGGAAATTAAGCAGAGATTCCGTGTTGAGATTGGTGTTTGGTTTCTTGGGTGCTTTCGTTGGTGTTTTGGTTGCTGTTGGATTCATATTTTTTTACAGGAAATGGTATAGGAAGAACAAGAGGGAAGCTTCGCATAGACAATTCGTTAGCGGTTTCCGTTCCGGTGTGTTGCCAAATTCCGGTGCCAAATGGTTTCATTTATCGGAGCTCGAACGAGCGACCAATGGTTTTTCTCAGAAGAACTTGATCGGCCGAGGTGGCTACGGGGTTGTGTACAAAGGAAAGCTTGCTGATGGTACTATGGTTGCGGTGAAACAGATGCTCGATTTCGAATCCGAAGGCGACGAGGACTTCTCGAACGAAGTCGAGATAATAAGCAAGATCAGGCATCGGAATCTTCTTTCGCTCCGAGGCTGTTGCGTCACTAGCGACACAGAGAAAGGTCGGAGACGATATCTGGTTTACGATTTCATGTCGAATGGCAGCCTTGGTGATCATCTGTTCCATGATTCCACTAGGCCAAAACTTAGTTGGCCTCAACGCAAGAACATAATTCTTGATGTTGCTAAAGGCCTAGCTTATTTGCACTACGGCATCAAACCATCGATTTATCACCGAGACATTAAGGCAAACAACATACTTCTCGACTCGGAAATGAAGGCAAAAGTTGCGGATTTCGGATTGGCGAAGCAGAGTCCGGAAGGGCAGTCTCATCTCACAACAAGGGTTGCAGGCACACACGGTTATCTAGCACCGGAATACGCACTCTATGGACAATTGACTGAGAAAAGCGATGTTTACAGTTTCGGAATCGTGATCCTCGAGATCATGAGTGGGAGAAAAGTGATCGACACTTCGAATTCATCATTCCTACTGATCACAGATTGGGCTTGGAAGCTCGCGAAATCGGGCAATGTGCAAGAAATCTTCGATGAATCGATACGAGAGGAAGGACCGAAAGGCGTGATGGAAAGGTTCGTTCGAGTTGGGATTCTTTGCGCTCATGTGATGGTGGCTTTCAGGCCGAAAATTGCAGAAGCTTTGAAGATGTTAGAAGGTGATATTGACATCCCAAAGTTACCAGACAGGCCATTGCCACTGAGTCATGAGTCCTTTAAGTCATCCTTGGGAAGAATAGCATCAACAAGTAATACATCAAAATATAGCTCAAATTTGTCGATAGTATAGATTGATTTCATTCTTGGGACTAGGCTTAGAACCCCCCCCCCCCCCAAATTTACTTCATTTAGAAATTCAAGGTTTCTTGTAATTATTCTTAATAATATTAAGGGTAAACTATATCAATAACTACCTAGCTATATAGCCCTTTTACTTTTGCCACTAACTATTTAATTATTATCAATTAAGCCACTAACAGTTAACAATTGAAAAAAATGTTGACGTGGTAGTAAAATATTAGTCTAATTATAGATTTAGTCCCTAATATTTGTACATTCTCTCATTTTGGTATTAATTTAAATTTAATTTAATAAATTAACCATTCAATTAGGATTTGAAATGTGTCAATACAGGATCATGACATGTGTCTTTAGTGACACATGTCAATACATGATTGTAAAATTTTATTTTTTAATTTTAATTTATTCAATTAAATATATTTTTATATCCAATCAGAGGTGGCACATTTCACCACCCGATAGGATAGAAAATAAAAGGATAAAAAAATGCTCTTGGACAGATTTGAACCAGCGCACGTACCAAAGGCGCCTTTTGAATTATAATTACACAAGTGATATTTACCCTTTAAAAACTTGTTAAGGGTAAAAGAAAATAAAAATAAAAAGAAATTAGAATTAGAAGCTAAAAATAAATAAAATAAAATAAAAATATAATATTTTTATATATATAAATTTAGCGTCTAATTCTAATTTATTTTTATTTTCTTTTACCCTTAACACGTTTTTAAAGGGTAAATACACTTTGTTGTATTTATAAACCATTTCGTGCCTTTGGTGGATTGGTAAAGGTGTGTTTTCATTTCCCTTTGGACGCTGGTTCCATTTTTTCCAAGAGCAATATCTTGTCTATTTATTTTCTCTACGATTGGGAGGTAACATGTGTCACCTCTTGATTAAATAAAAATATTTAATTAAATAAATTAAAATTAATAATCAAAATCCTCTGATCATGCATTGACACGTGTCACTAATGACACATGTAATGATCTTGTGTTGATATACGTCATATCCTGATTGAGTGATTAATTTATTAAATTAAATTTAAATTAGGACCAAAATGAGAGAATGTCTAAATATTAGGGACTAAATGTAAAATTATACTAGTTTTTTTAAAAACCATGTCAGGATTTCTATCATTTGTTAGGTTTAATTGACAACAATTAAATAGTTAAGTGGTCAGATTGAAAAAATTGAAAGATCAGTTGAAAAAGTAAAAGGGCTAAATAATTAGGTGGTCATTGGAATAATTTACCCTAATATTAAATATTTTTAAATGTACTTGATTACGTGTGTTTTTGTTGTAACTTTTGATCGGTTTTCCTAATGAAATTATATATATATATATATATATATATATATATTTATTTATTGTATTTATAAATTTGCTGAATGAATAAATGAAGTAAGTTGTGAGGTTGTGACGTTGTGACTCATTCATTCTAGTTCCAATAAGAGATGCAATTAGTGGTAGTTAGACGAACAATTAATGTTTAGATCCTTTGTCTTTATAAAGTGGTAAAGGAAGAATATTCTAAATGTTTTTCTCGACTATGATCAAAAGATTTTATAAGTGTTGATATCAAACATAGATAAACTCAATTGATGTGATTATTGACTTGTTTTTAGCACTAATAAATCATGTTTGATATGTTAGAGGATCACGTTCGATATGTTAGTGGTAGCTCGATATGTTGCAGACTTGCAGGCACACATGCTTACTTAGCACCCGAGTACGCACTCTACGGTCAATTGACCGAGAAAAGTGATGTTTATAGTTTCGTAGTTGTGATCCCCGAGAACATGAGTGGGAGAAAAGTGATCGGCACATCGAATTCATCCTTCCTATTGATCACAGACTGGACTTAGAAGTAGTGAAATCGAACAATGTGCAAGAGATCTTCGACGCGCACACACACACATACATACTAGGATAAAAAATGATGATTAGAGCTGCCCCTCTTTGCTTGTTGTTGTGGAATTAGATCAGAACAAAGATATAAAACACCATTTTTGACATGGTTCTATTTCTAGAGCTTAAAGTTCTTCTCATTCCGAACTCTTTGATGGGAATTTTAATCCATCTCCTTCTGTGATATATGAGCCACGATTGAACGAATTATTTTCATTATGAATTCTTTGATTAAAAATGTTGATTCACATCCTCTTGTGAAGAACGAGCCTTGATTGAACGAATTCTTCTCATTATGAATTCTTCGATTGAAAATTCTTATGCACCTCATTCTTTGATGAACGAGCCTTTGTCAAACGAATTCATCTCATTATAAATTCTTTGTTTGAAAATGTTGACCCATCTTCTTTTGTGATGGATGAGCTATGGTCGAATAAATTATTCTCATTATGAATTCTTCGATCGAAAATGTTGCTCTTCCTTCTATGATAGATGAACTGAAGTTGAATAAAATTTTCTCATTATGAACTTCTTCGATCGAAATGTTACTCCACCTACTTCTGTGATGGATGAGCCAAAACTGAACAAGTTCTTCCCATTATGAACTTCTTCTCCCTCATCAGATAAGTTCTTCTCATTACGAACCCTTCCATTGGAAATGTTGATCTACCTCTATATGATAGATGAGTCAAATTCTTCTTATTATGAATTTCTTCTTCAAAAATGTTGATTCTTCAAAGACACATTACCCTTAATTAGCAATTTTGAGGATTTATTATTTTAGAAACAATGTTGTCTCATGTGAGACTAAAAATGATAATTTGATCTCAAGAGAGATGGAATATGATTTTCAAGGGAAGTAATTTCATGAAAATTTAAAAAATCATTATGAGTGAAGAAAACATTTCGTTACAAGAGAAACAATCTTTATGTTTATGTTTCAATGAAACTATATCAAGTGGGATAAAATTTATTTCAATTGAAATAAGATATGTTTTAATAAAAACGATATCACGGGAGATAAAATTTGTTTTAAGAAAAATAATCTCAAGTGAAATAAAATATGTTTTAAGGAAAACGATCTCGAGTGAGATAAAATATATTTTAAGGAAAACAATCTCAAGTGAGATAAAATATGTTTTTAAGAAAAACGATCTCAAGTGAGATAAAGTATGTTTTAAGAAAAACAATCTCAGGTGAGATAAAATATGTTTTAAGAAAATCGATCTCAAGTGAGATAAAATATGTTTTAAGGAAAATAATATAAAGTGAGATAAAATCTATTTTAAGGAAACAATCTCTAGTGAGATAAAAATCTGTTTTAATACAAAGAATCTCGAGTGAGATGAAGCTGATCCAACTCCCTATACGATGGAACCGAGCAAAATGGTGATGTTGATCTAACTCCATATGTGATCGAATCGAGAGAAAGAGAAATGTCGATCTACTTCTTTCAATGGTGAAATTGTAGACTAAATCTTTGCTGAAATCCTTTTTTCTTTCACGAGGTCATGAAATGAAATCTTTTTTTACTTTTGAATTCATTTCAAACATTCACAACTTAATGAAGAATTAATGGGTATGCTTCTATTTTGTAAATGCCTAATTAATTATGCATGACATTCTCAATGTATGTATAAATATTGATCATCAATCTTCTTCTGACTTCTAAGTGGAGACCTTAGTCTTCCTTCACTTGATTGTACTGGAATAAAGTCTGTTCCAATATTAGCATAACAATTTTTCAGCTCGGGCTTGGATCTTCTAGAGAAGATTCCGACTATCTTGTGCAAACATTTCCTTTCTATCTTTTGTCATGTAACATCCCAAAAGTCAGGTTAGTGACCAAAATAGAATTTTTTACAACTTAGTGACCAATCTCATAAAAGATTAAAAGTTCAGGGATTTAATTAGAAAATTTTGATGTTGGATTTCATAATAAAGTTTGAAAGTAATAAGGGTATTATGGTCATTTTTCAGGGAAGATTTTTAATTCCCTTTATAAAGGGTAATAAGCACGTGGAAAAGGGAGAATTTCTCCAGAGCCTTCTTTAGTTTCTTATTCTTCTCCACCGTGAGCTCATTTCTAAAAGTGAGAATTCTTTCAGTTGGTTAATTCTTATAAATTTTGAATTAGTTTTATTCTTGGGATGTTAAGAAAAATTAAGGAAAGCTGTAGGTGGCTTAAAACTCAAAGATTAACAAGTTATGAGAAATTAAGAAAAATGAGTTTTTAAGTGAATTATTGAAATAGAAGGAGTGAATAGATTTTTAAGTTGAATTTGACTTGTCAATGGGTGAATTAAGAAATATGAAGTGTTAGAATTGGAATTTGTACATGTTGCAAAGTTGGTGTAATTCTTGAATTACATATGAAGGATAGAATTTTGAAGTTAAAGATGTATTGAATGAGTATAAATGGGCTTAAGTAGGTGTATTTGAGTTTAGCATATGAAAGAGGAGGAAACATAAAGTGTTGAAGCTGAAAAGAATTAATTTTCGTGCTTAAAATTGATTTCTAGGCAAGGGGTATCAGTACCTATCGATACCCCTTCAACAGGTACCGATACCTCAAGAGTAAAATTAAGAAGAAATTTAAGGGGTACCGATACCTTGAAGAACAGTATCGATACCCATGGGTACCGATACCTTAAGGAAGGTATCGATACCATATTGAATGAAAAATTATAGAATGAAATATGGGTATCGATACTTAGGTAGTGTACCGATACCCAGTTAAGGAATGTATCGATACCCTATAGGGGGTAATGATACATACTTTAAATAGAAAAGGAATTTCACATTTCTTTTAGTCTAAGAAATAAAAGATTAGAGTATATCAATTAGAATTCTGATATGGATCAATGTATGATTATATAGATACTGAACATAATCTTGTTCCGGAACAATCGAAGAATTATAAACGATCAAGAGAAATAAAGTGCTAGAATCAAGAAAGGTGAAGGTGGGTGCATCTTATTTCATAGGATTATATGGAAATTTGACTTGCGATAAGTCTATTTCCGATAGTATAATACATAAAGTTGTGATTACAAGTATGTGATTAATATGAAATATATGTATGCTTGATTGTATGAGTGTATATGTGCTA